GCGTGTGCGTGTGCGTGTGGGCGTGGGTGTGGGTGTGGGTGTGGGCGTGGGTGTGGGTGTGGGGGTGTGGGTGCGTGGGTGTGTGTGGGTGTTTGGGTGTGTGGGTGTGGGTGCGTGTGGGTGTGTGGGTGTGTGTGGGTGTGTGTGGGTGTGTGGGTGTGTGTGGGTGTGTGGGTGTGTGTGGGTGCGTGTGGGTGTGTGTGGGTGTGTGGGTGTGTGTGGGTGTGCGTGGGGGTGTGCGCGGGGTGGTGCGTGTGGTGTGTGTGTGTGGGTGTGTGTGTGGGTGTGTTGGGGTGGGCGCGTGTGGGGTGTGGTTGTGGGTGTGGGTGTGGGTGTGGCGTGGGGTGGTGGTGTGTGGGTGGGTGCGTGCGTGCGTGCGTGCGTGCGTGCGTGCGCGCGTGCGTGCGCGCCGGTGCGTGCGTGCGTGTCTGCGTGCGTGCGTGCGTGCGCGCGGCGCGCGCGTGCGTGCGTGCGTGCGTGCGTGCGTGCGCGCGTGCGTGTGTGCGCGTGTGCGTGTGTGTGGTGGTGTGTGGTGATGTGTGGTGGTGTGTGGTGGTGTGTGGTGGTGTGTGGTGGTGTGTGGTGGTGTGTGGTGGTGTGGTGGTTTGGTGGTGTGGTGGTGTGGTGGTGTGGTGGTGTGGTGGTGTGGTGTGGTGGTGTGTGGTGTGTGGTGCGTGGAATGTGTGTGTGGTGTGTGGTGTGTGGTGTGTGGTGTGTGGTGTGTGGTGTGTGGTGTGTGGTGTGTGTGCCTGTGTGTGCCTGCGTGTGCCTGTGTGTGTCTGTGTGTGTCTGTGTGTGTGCGTGTGCGTGTGCGTGTGTGTGTGTGCGCGTGCGTGCGCGCGCGCGTGCGCGTGTGTGTGGGGGTTTGCGGGGGGGGGGGGGGGGGGGGAGAAGGGGGGGGCGTGCGCGTGGGGGGGGGGGGGGGGCGTGGGGGGGTGCGTGGGGGTGGCGTGGGGGTGGTGCGTGGGGTGGGGGGGTGGGGGGGTGCGTGGGGTGCGTGGGGGGTTGCGTGGGGTGCGTCGGGTGTGTCGGTCGGCGCCGTGGGGGGTGCGCGGGGAATCGTGAGGGTGCGCGGGGGTGCGTGGCGCGCGGTGGGCGTTGCGTGGGGGCGTGCGTGGGCGTGCGTGGGCGTGCGTGGGCGTGCGTGGGCGTGCGTGGGCGTGCGTGGGCGTGGGGGCGTGCGTGGGCGTGCGTGGGCGTGCGTGGGCGTGCGTGGGCGTGCGTGGGCGTGCGTGGGCGTGCGTGGGCGTGCGTGGGCGTGCGTGGGCGTGCGTGGGCGTGCGTGGGCGTGCGTGGGCGTGCGTGGGCGTGCGTGGGCGTGCGTGGGCGTACGTGGGCGTGCGTGGGCGTGCGTGTGCGTGCGTGTGCGTGCGTGGGCGTGCGTGGGCGTGCGTGGGCGTGCGTGGGCGTGCGTGGGCGTGCGTGGGCGTGCGTGGGCGTGGGTGGGCGTGCGTGGGCGTGCGTGGGCGTGCGTGGTGCGTGTGCGTGCGTGCGTGCGTGTGTGTGTGCGCGCGTGCGCGTGCACGTGTGTGGTGTGTGTGTGTCTGTTTGTGTGTGTGTGTGCGTGTGGTGTGTGCGTGTGTGCGTGCGTGCGTGTGCGTGCGTGCGTGTGTGTGTGTGTGCGTGTGTGGTGTGTGTGCGTGTGTGTGTGTGCGTGCGTGTGTGCGTGGTGTGCGTGTGTGTGTGTGTGCGTGTGTGTGTGTGTGTCTTGTGTGTGGTGTGTGCGTGCGTGCGCGTGTGTGTTCGCGTGGTGTGCGTGTGTGTGTGCGTGCGTGTGCGTGCGTGGTGCGTGTGTGTGCGTGTGTGTGATGTGTGTGATGTTGGTGGATGTGTGTGATGTGTGTTTGTGCGTGTGCGTAGTGCGTGTGCGCGTTCGTGTGCGTGTGCGTGTGCGTGTGCGTGTGCGTGTGGTGTTGCGTGTGCGTGTGCGTTTGCGTGTGCGTGCGCGTGCGCGTGCGCGTGCGCGCGCGTGCGCGTGCGCGTGCGCGTGCGCGTGCGCGTGCGCGTGCGCGTTGCGTGCGCGAGCGCGTGCGCGAGCGCGAGCGCGTGCGCGTGCGCGTGCGCGTGCGCGTGCGCGCGCGCGAGTGCGTGCGCGCGCGCGCGGGCGGGCGGGCGGGCGGGCGGGCGGGCGGGCGCGCGTGCGTGCGTGCGTGCGTGCGCGCGTGTGTTTGTGTGTGTGTGTGTGTTTGTGTGTGTGTTTGTGTGTGTGTGTGTTCCAGGGCACCTTCGGTTTATGTCGGGCCTGCCCCTCTACAGGATAAGAGTCCAAACGTAGTCAGGGAGCGATTTGGGGAGGATGGTTTTCACTATGTGCGAGCATTGCTTTAGTTATGTTTTTTGTTCGTCCAATGTTGGCATTTGCTGTTATTTATCTATGTTAGCATTTGTTCCGCAGCCCAGTGGCTCGGGCTGCGTGGGCGGCCCCCAAACAGGGCTCGTTTCGATTTCTCCGCTTCGGTTCGATTCGACTTCGATGGCTTCTGATTCCGATTCGACTCGGCTTGAGATTCCGACTTGGGCTCCGATTTCTCATTGGAGGCGTAATAGTTTGCCGATGTCCGCCGATTCGGTTTTTCCTGACTTGGTTGCCGATTGCCGCCGATCCGATTCATTTCGGTCGCCGATCCGACTTATCGATTCGATTCCAGGCTCTCTTGCCCAAACGATTTAACCCAGTGTTCTCGTTGGTGCCTGGAGGGAGGTGGCCCCAGATAGGTATATGTCCGTTCTACGTCCCGGCATTCAGCGAACTCCTACCCACACAAGTCGATGGAGGAATGTTTGACGTTTCGGACATTTCAATACGTACCCCCACCAGCCCATCAAAAAAATGCTTAGACGAATTGCTTGGATCAGGGAAGTGCAGGATCATGCAGTGAGAAACTAAGCAAGGAGGGAGGCAGTCGTCAAACCAAAGCTCAGGATCATCCTGAGCAGACCCAGGAGCTAATCGCAAATGCCTTCTCGGACCGTCCGATCTGGAGATATCTTGGCATACTCAAGTGGACCTCTTTGGGCCAGTTTGGAGACAGCTGGGGCTGAGGTCCTCGTGGCCTTGGGGGCCACCTTGGAGGCAATCGGTGAGAGAGGGAGGTTCTGTTTTAGGGATTGCCCCTTTTGAGCCCAAACTCTCGCCTCGCGCGCTGTGGGCGCTGCTGGGCGCTCTCGGCGCTGTCGTGGGTTCCCTTCTTTGGCTCCTCTCGGAGCTGTCTTGGGGCATTTTGGGTCCGCCCGGAGGCCTCTGGAGCTCGTCGGAAGCGAAAAGGCAAGGATGCAGCAACCAGTTTTTCCCAACCATCCTGTGGTGTTGGGTCCTCGTTTTGTAGACACCAGAACGGGCGCCAAGAGGCCTCGCAACTGCTTCCAGGAGACCCCCGAGAGACTTGCCACGAGATCCGAACGAACTGTCCAGCCGCTTCCATGAGCCCCAGACGCCTCCAGAACAGCTTCAAGAGCGGCCCAGAGCCTCCCAAGACGGCTCCGAAACGACCCGGGATTGCCTGAAGACGGCCCAAGGGGCCGCCAAGATGGTCCAAGATGGCCCGAAGATGGGCCCAAAGGTTCCGAAGACGCTTCCACGACGCCCCCATGCAGCTCCAGGTCCAGAAGAGGCCCCCAGAGGCTTCCCAAATGGCCTGGAGAGTTTAAAGCGCTTCAAACACCGATAGACAAGCGCAAATGATTACAGAACAGCCTGTGTACTTCCGATGGGCTTCGGCGGTCTGGAGATGGCCCCCAGACGCCCAGAACGGCCCCACGATGAGCCCTACACGCGCCCCAACAGCGGCCCAAGAAGGGGAACGTGCAAGGAGAACCCTAGATCTTCGGTCCAAGAGGCCCCCAAGACGCCCCAAGAGGCTCCAAAGAAACCGCCAAGACGGCCCGAGATGGCCCCAACCGCGGCCAAGGATCGGGAACGCGAACCGAGAACCCGAGATCGTTGCCCCAGGAGGTCCTTGGGAGGCCTCACGAGGTCCCCAAGAAGCCCAAAAGAGCCCCAAAAGAGGCCCCGAGGTTACTGGAAAAAAACATGAAATTCAAACATGTCCTTTCTTTTCAAGTTCGCCGGGCAGCCTGGCTACGCTTGCAAAACAAGGAAAGATCACATTTCCTCCTTTTCCTCCTCCTCCTCCTCTTCCTCCTCTTCCTCCTCTTCCTCCTCCTCCTTCTCCTCCTGTTCCTCCTGTTCCTTCTCCTCTGCGGCCTCCTCCTCCTCCTGCCCCATGGAACCCCTGAACCTCCCCTTTCCTCCCTCTCCCCCCGGCTTCGTCCAGCCAAGCCGAAGAGAGGGGCCACCGAAGGGCCTCTCGTGCCCGTCTTAGGCCGCTGTGGGTGGACCGTTCGGAGTTTGGGAAGCCATTTAGGCCGTCTTCGTGTTTCTTGGAAGGAAGTCTCATAAAATAGAGGTTCCGGAGAGTTTGACCATCCAGCCTAGCTAGAACTTGAGAGCGCACGCCAAGCGCGCGATGGTTCTGTGTCTGGCTGGCTGTCTGTATGCCTGCCTGCCTGTCTGCTTGCCTGCCTGTATGTATGTGTTGATATATGTATGTATGTGTGCATGTCTGATTGTATACATGTATGCATGTATGCACACATGGATGGATGGATGGATGGATGGATGGATGGATGGATGGATGGATGGATGGATGGATGGATGGATGGATGGATGTACGTACGTACGTAAGTACGTATGTATGTATGTATGTATGTGTGTATGTATGCATGCATGCATGCATGCATGCATCTACGTATGTACGTATGTACGTATGTACGTATGTACGTATGTACGTATGTATGTATGTATGTATGTTTGTTTGTTTGTTTGTTTGTTTGTTTGTTTGTTTGTTTGTTTGTTTGTTTGTTTGTATGTGCGTGTATGCATGTATTCATGTATGTATGTATTCATGTATGTATGTAAACATGTAAATGTGTGTTTGTGTGTGTGCATCTTGAGGTGAATACTTAATGTAGTACTGACGTCGTGCCCGTCCCTGCGCCAGGCCGAAGCCAAGGCGGCCGCAGGCGCCAGCGCCGCCGCGGAGACCGCGGCGGAGTCGCTGAGGGCGGAGCTGGCCACGGCGCAGGCGGCCGCCTGCAGCCCTGCCGAGCGGAGACCGCGAGACTTTGCCGATCTGGCGGTCTGGGCAGAGTCGGAGGCCTCTAGATAGTTTCACCCGGTGTCTTCGCTAGTGCCTGGGGAGGTACGTGTCCACCCTAGGCGCGCCCGCGCTTTCCCCGTCTGGCTGCAGCGTGGGGGTGGGCGCCTGCTGAAGCAATACGATCGGGTCTGACTGCTAGGCCGACCCCGCAAAGTCCAGTGTAGGTATGCCTTTGTGTCCCGTCTATCGCGTTCCAATCCTCCTGATGTCGGGAGCATGGGTTGCCTTCGGAAGAGACTCCTGCCCTCTCGGATATCCTCTGCAATCGGCCTCAGTCGGGCTTGTCCCTCTACAGGAGGAATAGTCAGAAATAGTCAAAAATAGTCAAGGGACGATTTTTTATTATTTTTGCATATTTTTCTGTTGTTCACTTTTACTATTTTTCATTTTTCCTCCAAAATTCCCCTGCAGGGGACACGCCCGACCTAAAATCAGCCCTGGCTGCAATGGCGGACCCGGTCTCCGCCATTGACTCCCCGCCCTGGGGGCGGCGTGCGGCGTTCGCAGATTGCCGATGATTGCCGCGGTCAGGGGGCGTGCGGGCGCGCACGAGGGCATTTCTCACTGCATTTAAGTCGGGCCTGTCCCTCTACAGGAGGAAGATTCAAAAGTTGTTAAAAAAATAATATGGGGACGATTGTTTTAGTATTTTTGTTTTGCCATGTTGCAGTATTGTGCAGTTGTTTCTGTTTTTCGCTTAAAATCAGCCTTCAGGCGGACACGCCCGGCCTCAAATTGCACCGACCTTGCAGACGTGCTGGAGCTGATTTTTTGTATATTTCTGTCGTTTCAAAACCCCGAAACGGCGAGCGACAAAATGATAGAATTTCGCGTGGATTTTTGTGTGATCTTCATTCCTGGCCCGAAACAATTCCGCGCGAAATTCACCTCGAAGTCTGGAGCGAAATTTTCCAGGACAACCCTGGCTTATTTCATTATTTTCCGAACGAAATACGCTATGCGATGTTGGAGCGATGACATTTCCACAATGTTGTCCGCGCTGCCACCTCGTGGACCACCACGTCTCACGCTTCCCTCTTGACGTTCCTCGGCGGAGTCCGCGGTTCCGCCTGCTTGGTTTTCCAGGCTTCCGTTCGGTGACCGCCCGCGGTTGCCCCGTAGCCGTCTCGTGCGCTGCCCACCGCATATTCAGCATGCGCCACACATTGCACCACGTAGGTTGCATCACATAGATTGCAACAGCTAGATTGCACCGTATAGCTTGCAGCACACAGGTTGCAAATTAGACAGATTATAGTACACATACTGCACATCCAGAGTGCAAAAAAAAATACTTAGGCCTCACGCTGACAACCACATGTTTCGATTGGTTGCCCAGCGCCGCGCGTAGACAGACGGGTCGTCATAGGGTCGCCGTTCACGTCGTCTTCATCGCCACCCCTCCCCCCTCGACGCCGACGCCGCCGACCACGAAAAGACGGTTCCGTCATCGCCGACGGCTTTGGGGATAATCGCCGACGACGATGCCATTTGCGACGTGAAAAACCAGTGTCGTTGTCAGCGTAGTCGAGTCGTCGACGGCGTCGTCGTCGTCGACGAAGGCGACGATGACGAGACAGTCGTTCAGAATGTCCCTCGGCGACGCCGTCGCCCGGAGGTTCTTCCGAGGCCTGTCGAGGCTCCCGCGGAGGCCCCCAGGAAACCACCCGAGGCCCGACAAGGGTCGAGAACGCCACCAAGCCCTCGCACCCCGAGGAAAACAACATAGAATATACGTGCACATATACACTAGGTCTTACATACCTACGTACACATTGATGCATGTATGCTACGGGCTGCTACAGTATATGAAAGTTCAGATGTAAGATAAACACCGTTGAAAATTCTGCCTGGAGGATTTGGTTACCAATGTTCCGACCCTACAAATAACATCATTCACATGTGTAATGTTATGTAAAGGTGCGAACGTAAACATATGGTAGGGAGTGCCACAAGACTTTGTTTTGAATGTTTTCTTCCGGTGTTGGTAGTGGCGGTGTTGTTCGTCTAGTGTTATGTTGTTAGTGTTATGTGTCATCTCTGGTTTTGTATACTTTGTTGATGAGTTTGATTTTGAATGTCTATAAAAGCTCATGCCTGGGAATTCGTGAATTTCCAGAGGCCCGATACCCCAGAAAAAAATAGCCCGGAGAAAGATCCAACCATAAGCTCTTATACGTACCGCAGTTGTGAGTACCATCTTTGGTGGATCCTCCTGTGCGGCCACGAAACGTTTGGGGGGTGTGCCAAAGTGGCCCGTCTGCGGCAGGCGGCCTTCTCCACGGAGGTTTTCGGTTGAGCTCCCCATGGGGCCACGAAACATGCGAGGGGTGTGCAGACATTAAACGGGACCGACATGCGGACCCTGCCGCTGCGGCCTCCGGTGGTGCCGCCTCCACCCACGAAACGTGCGAGGAGAGGTGCGCCAAAATGCGGGATGGAACCGCACTGGGGCCTCAGGTGGAGCACCTTGTGGGGCCAAAGAACGCGTGAAGGTTTCGCCGGAATGGGGGGGTGGAACCGCATGCGAACGCAGCCATTGGGGCCACCGGTGGAGTTCCGTATGGGGCCACGAAACGTCTGAGGGGTGCGCCGAAATTGCGAGGTGGCGGCACGCGGACCCAGGCACCGGGGCCCTCGCTGGAGCTCCCTATAGGGCCACGAAGCGTGTGACGGGTGCACCGCAATTGCAAGGTGGCGGCATGCGGGTACTGCCACTGGGGCCTTCGGTGGAGCTCCCTATGAGGCCACGAAGCGTGTGAAGGGTGTGCTGAAATGGCGAGGTAGCCCTACGGGGCAACGACACGTGTGAGGGGTGTCCGTAATTGCGAGTTGGCGGCAAGCGGGCCCTGGCACCAGGGCCTTCGGTGGAGCTCCCTACGAGGCTACGAAACATTAAAGGGGTGTGCCGAAATAGCGAGGTGGCGACATGCGTGCCTTGGCACTGGGGCCTTCGGTGGAGCTCCCTGAGGGCCACGAAGCGTCGGACGGGTGTGCCGAAATTGCAAGGTGGCGGCATGCGGGCCCTGCCACTGGGGCCTTCGGTGGAGCTCCCTATGAGATAACGAAGCTTCTCAGGGGGCATGGCGAGGTGGCGGCATGCGGGCCCTGGCATTGGTTTATATATATATATATATATATATATATTCGATGGAGCTGCCTACGGGGCTACGAGATGTGTGAGGGGCGCGCTGGAATTGCGAGGTGGCGGCAAGCGGGCCCTGCCACGGGGGCCTTCGGTGGAGTTTCTTGCGGGGGCCATGAAGCGTGTGAGGGGTGTGCCCAAATTGCGAGGTGGCGCCGCGCGGGACTGGCCTTGGGGACTTCGGCGGAGCTCCCCATGGGGCCACGAAGCGCTGCACCGGGTGCGCCGATACAGAGTCGCGCGGAGTGCAGAGGCAAGGATGGGATGGAGGGAGGAGGGGGGGGGAGGAGGCTGGGGGAGGAGAACGCGGGGCACCGTCTTTTCTAAACGAGGACCCAACACCACAGGATGGCTTGGACAAACAACAAACCAAAGAGTGCGGAAACGATATGTTTCCACAGGGAACACTTCTTTGAGAAAAGGAAAGCCAGCGTTCTCTTTGCAAAACAAGGGGTTCTCTTTGAATGCCATCAACCATTCCAAGAATTTGCGGCGGCGGGCGCAGGTGATCTCAGTGCCTGCACAGGGATCCCATTGATGCGTCACCGTTGCACAGACACGCAAATTGTTCCGTAAGTGTTCCGACCCCTGCCGCTGGCCCTTTCTCTTGGATAATATGGGGCACGTGAGAATTGCGCTGCGAGGACCGGGCGCCAACGCGAAGCAGCGTCGGAACTCCGAGCGGGGCCATTGGAGATATGAACGTGCCAAAATCCAGCAATAACCAAATTGCAATCGCAGACTTGGCCTCTTGGGCCACTTGTGGGAATACTTTTGGGGGCCTCTCGGGGGCCTCCTGGGCCGTCTTGGCGCCGTCTTGGGCGCCTTGGAGCATTCATTGGCCGACTCGGAAGCCTCTTGAACCGTCTTGGGGGCAGTGCGCGAAGGATTGTGGCTTCGAAACGGGAGCGCTGCGCAGTTCCCACAGGGGTTGGTGATTTCGGGGGCGCGAAGAAAGTTTAATTCACAAGGGGCCACGGCATCAGGAACGCAACTAGCGCATACTTTACGAGAGAGCATTGCCTCGGAGACGCGAATGTTGCACGCGCTGCAAGCAGGTGGGGTCTCGGGAGCGCGAAAACCACGTGATCCGCGAAGGGGGGCGCGTCTTCGGGGGCGCGGCCAGTTTGCAATTTTCTGCGGACGGCGGCCCCAGGGGCGCGAACGCGGCGTGATTTACGAAGGATTATGGTTCCAGGGGCGCGAATCTCACGAATTTTCATGCGCCCCAGGCTCCCCCCCCCCCCCCCGGAAACTTTGATGCCCCCCAGGCAGCGGCAACCGGGTTTTTTGTTCGCCCCCCCCCCCCCTGGCGCGGAGTTCAACCATTCGCAGTGGGAAGCGAGGCGCAGAAGAATCGGAGACTGGAACATTGAAGTGGAGACAGGGGTCGCCAAGCCAAATCCGCGGAGCCTGCTGGCCCCACCAGGGGGGGAGGGGCGGCGCGCATACAGAGCGCGCGAGACCCATTTGAAAACAAAGAGTCGTCGCACTTGTTTCCTTCTTCTCTCGTTTTCACGCATTCGTCTGCGCTGGCCTCCGGGGCTTCGCGGCGCCCATGGGCCCGATGACGCTAGCGACGGGGAGTTCCTCAACCCCCCGGGCCCGAGGAACCAAACGCCAGCAGGAAATCGCCGGCAACCTCTCGCATGGGCCACTTGCCGCGGACAATGGGGGACAGAAGGGGGCGGGGCGCCCCGCCGAGGCGGGCGGGGGCAGGGCGCCGCGGCCGCCCGCGCCATGCCCCCGCACCTCTGCAG